CACCTGAAACTTCAATAATGAATGAAAATGAATTGTTTCGATTTCTTTTTTTGTAGAAACAATTTTGAGCATATCTAATGAGGATTTGTTTGAATAAATTGATTTTTAATATTGTTTGATTAATTTTTATATATTTATTTTATATATTGATATTTTTCAGATGTTGAAGATGCCGTGCAGTGGCCAGTTAGATGTAGTTTATTTCCGCACATTCCACCTTACATTTGTTTTACTTCGCATGACTCCGAAACAGAAGCTAAAATTCCCAATGGTAAAAAGTTCCTCAAATGGAAGTTGAGTACCATTACGCCAGTTATAGTTAGGAAAACTTTAACAAATTCTGGTTTTGCGTTGGTTAGAAGTGAGTTTACGAGAGGTGTGCACCCATTAACCAGTTATCCTTATTTTCCTCTCCACATTAACATGCCTGTCCTTTTTGTCCATACCGAAAGAATTTTTTTCCATCAATAACCCACATCAATTTTTTTTAGAATCCAATCAGTGGCTAGGTACATGGGGAAAACACATGAAGTCCCCGATGTTTAGGACATTGAGAGATTATCAAAAACTCAATCATTTCCCAGGAACATTTCAGTTAGGAAGAAAAGATAGATTATGGAGAAATTTTCAAAGGATGATTAGTAGATACGGTCATAAAGAGTGAGTACATTTCTGTTTTTCTATGTGAAACTCAGTGACATTGCAAAAAAATGCAATCTCCTTGCATATTTTATTATTTGATTACAATTTTCAATAATTAACAATCTATTGTTCCTTCCAAATATAGTTCTCTCAATATGTACAATATAATTTTATAAGGAAATTTCTTATCAAAGTGCAATTATTTGATGATAATTTTATTACATCACATCTGAAGTCAACCATAATCGATATGGAACACATTTATTTTTTCTATGTTGGTTATTTTGCTTATTTGTTCTTATTGTTACTTTTTTCCCCGTGGGTTGACCAATAATTGACTACACTGAATAATCAAACTTAACTTTATTTCACTTTAAATACAATAAACACTTCAACTATTATTCGAATTTCTATCGCCTCACTAGATCGCTTCGCGTACCGGACTGTAACTTTCACTTGACTGTCTCGATATGCTCGTGGCTAGTGTTTATATATCGTAATCGAATGCGCTAGAAAATTTCGCCGAAATTTCATCGAAATCGGTAGCATTATTCTCGCTTCATCTAGAGCGGCAGCGAACATCGTACATTAGCGCGCTCTTAGCTATATCACAATTTGTTTATGGTTACCAGTGGCGGCCGGCTTTATTTTCTTTAGGGCATGATTTACAACATTATTGTCTTATGATGCACTGTTTGGAACTTTTGGTGTAGTAATGAATATTACTGGAGTTTTTCCCAACACTAAATCGTTATTTTTAACACCTCGACACGTGTTTCGATCTCCAAGTGATCATCTTCAAGAGGAAGATTAAACTGGAAAACTTGCGAAACTAACCCTATTTATGCTATACAGGTATACCACACCTTTGGTGTCTTAAATTATTTTTACAATATGTTTAAATGTTATAGTTATATATAAAACAATTTTCAAGCTATATATTTCGCAATATTGCCTATCTAAACTTATTTTTACAATGTGTCCTTATGTAATAGTCAGTAAATCTAATAATATTATTTTAACAAGCTAAATAGTATGCTATTTGGTATTGGTCCGTCATCATTATTCATAATACATTTACTTATTTCTACACTATCCTAGGCATCTAGTTGCCTGTTGTTAACTTGTCTAACTAATCTTAACGAACTGAAGTCTATGGAATGGTTTTGTTGCAAAATATGATGGGCGACTGCTGATTTTTCAGGTNGTGAAATATATAGCTTGACAATTGTTTTTTATATAGCTATAACATTTAAAAATTAGGTACATAAGGACGTATTGTAAAATTAATTAGATTAGGCAAATTGTAAAATTAATTTAAGACACCAAAGGTGTGGTATGCCTGTATGGTATACCATATTTACCTATTTACCCATATTTACCCTATTTATGCTATACAGGTATACATGTTTTTTCAATGAGTTTCATATGCTATCAAAAATATAATTAGATTCCACGAAAACCGATAAAATCTGTAGATAAATCATTTCTTGTAATTTCTGCCAAGATATTAATTTTTCACCTGGACTGGTTTGAAATCGTAAATTAGTAAAAAATGTACCGTTATTCATTTGAGAAGTTTATTGAGGAAATATTTAATTTGCAAGTCTTTATCATTATGATGTGGAAAATTGAGTAGACGTGCCAAATTACACTGGTTGACAGAATTTTGGCCAATGCAAGTGATTAAGATCTTCCTGAAAATTTTCCAAACATCTAATTATATCAATTGGACGGGTCGAAATCAACAAACACAATATTATGATTCCGAACTATTTTTAACATAATATACTGAAGTGTATTCCATGAGTTGGTGAAATGCTACACAATAAGTGGATGATTCACTCAGAAGTCGATTCGAAGATGATTCATTCCAAACAGAAATGCATATCTGCATGAGTGCAATTCGTTAGTCTCGATGTTAATGTTATTTAATATTTATTGTTATTGTTACATAATTAGTAATGAAAAATTGTAAAAATAATAATTTCCAAAAGAAACATTCAATTCCCCATATTATTCCTTGTGAGGTCCAGGGATATGCAATTAGGTAGACTTTTTTTTCTTAAAAACTAAGCAAGATACGAAAAAAATTCAAGAGACAAAAAAGTTGTATTTCTAATTGCTTGATACAAAGAAATAATAAAAATTGCATAAAAGTCAGTGGCGTACATTTTTAAGTCAAAAATATTCGTTCAAATCCCGGTCGAGACGCCACTGGACTCAATAAA